TGCTTCCTCAATGTAGAGTCAACCTTAATAACGTGGATGAAGTAAAGCTTCTGGGACCTTCATTTGCTGATGTGGCACAACTCAATGAGAAGAAACAGCCGCAAACATCCATTAGTAATCAGAATGTGGATGGACGAAGTATGAATCACAGAAAACTGGAAGTCGTAAAAAATGAAATGGAACACATAAAGATCGATATTGTAGGCATTAGTGAGCTAAAATGGACTGGTACTGGCCATTTCGAATCAGACAATTATATGGTCTACTATGCTAGGAATGAAAAATTGAAGAAAAATGGCATTGCATTCATCATCGAAAAGAAGATTTCAAGATCTATCCTGAAGTACAACGCTATCAGTGATAGGATGATATCCATACACCTACAAAGAAGACCAGTTAATACTATTATGATTCAAATTTACATACCAACCATTAATGCCAAAGATGAAGAAATTGAAGATTTTTATCAACTTCTGCAGTCTGAAATTGATCAAACATGCAATCAAGATGCATTGATAATTACTGGTTACTGGAATGTGAAAGTTGAAACAAAGAAGAAAGACTGGCAGTTGGAAAATATGGTCTTGGTGATAGAAATGACGCCAGAGATCGCATGATAGAATTTTGCAAGATCAATGACCTATTCATTAGAAATACCTTTTTTTCACCGACATAAACTATACATGTGGACCTTGCCAGATGGAATACATATAAATGGACTACATCTGTGGAAAGACACATTGGTGAAGCACAATATCATCAGTCAGACCAAGGCCAGGGGCTGACTGCGGAATAGACCATCAATTGCTCATATGCAAGTTCAAGTTGAAGCTGAAGAAAATTAAAACAAGTCCACGAGAGTCAAAGTATGACCTTGAGTATATCCCACCTGAATTTGGAGACCATCTCAAGGATAGATTTGACATCTTGAACACTAATGATCGAAGACCAGATCAGTTGTGGGATGACATCAAGGATATCATACATGAAGAAAGCAAAAGATCATTAAAAAGACTGGAGAGAAAGAAAAGACCAAAATGGATGTCAGAAGAGACTCTGAAACTTGCTCTTGAATGTACAGTAGCTAAAGCAAATGGAAGAAATGATGAAGTAAAAGAGCTCAACAGAAGATATCAAAGGGCAGCTGGAGAAGACAAAATGAAGTATTATAATGAAATGTGCAAAGACCTAGAGTTAGAAAACAAAATGGGAAGAACACGCTTGGCATTTCTCAAGCTGAAAGAACTGAAGAAAAAATTCAAGTCTTGAGTTGCAATTTTGAAGGATTCTATGGGCAAAATACTGAACGATACAGGGAGCATCAAAAGAAGATGGAAGGAATACACAGTCACTGTACCAAAAAGAACTGGTCCACTTTCAAACATTTCAGGGGGTAGCATACGATCAAGAATCGATGCTACTGAAGGAAGAAATCCAAGCTACACTGAAGGCACGGGCAATAAACAAGACTCCAGGAATTGACAGAATACCAATAGAGATGTTTCAACACACGGATGCAACGCTGGAAGTGTCAAGAAATTTGGAAGACAGTTACCTGGCCAACTGACTGGAAGAGATCCATATTTGTGCCAATTCCAAAGAAAGGTGATCCAATAGAATGTGGAAATTATCGAACGATATCATTAATATCACACACAAGTAAAATTTTGCTGAAGATCATTCAAAAACAGTTGCAGCAGTACATTGACAGAGAACTTCCAGAAATTCAAGCCATATTCGGAAGAGGACATGGAACAAGGGATATCATTGCTGATGTCAGATGGATCTTGGCTGAAAGCAGAGAATACAGAAAGATGTTTACCTGTGTTTAATTGACTATGCAAAGGCAATCAACTGTGTGGATCATAACAAACATTGCGAAGAATGGGAATTCCAGAACACTTAATTGTGCTCGTGAGGAATCTGTACGTAGACCAAGAGGCAGTTGTTCAAACAAAACAAGGGGATATTTCATGGTTTAAAATGAGGAAAGGTGTGCGGCAGGGTTTTAACCTTTCACGATACTTATTTGCTGAGCAAATAATCTGAGAAGCTGGACTATATGAAGAAGAACGGGGCATCAGGACTAGAGGAAGACTCATTAACAATCTGCCACAAGCAGATGACACAATCTTGCTTGCTGAAACTGAAGAGAACTTGAAGCCCTTAATGATGAAGATCAAACACCACAGCCTTCAGCATGGATTACACCTCAACATAAAGAAAACAAAAATCCTCACAACTGGACCAATAAGCAACATCATGATAAATGGAGAAAATATTGAGGTTGTCAAGGATTTCATTTTACTTTGATCCACAATCAACACCCATGGAAGCAGCAGTCAAGAAATCAAACGCATTGCATTGGGCAAATTTGTTGGAAAAGACCTCTTCAAAGTGGTAAAAAGCAAAGATGTCACTTTGAGGACTAAGGTTTGCCTGACCCAAGCTAAGATATTTTCAATCACCTCATATGCATGCAAAAGCTGAACTATGAATAAAGAAGACCGAAGAATTGATGCCATTGAATTATGGTGTTGGCAAAGAATATTGAATATACCATGGATTGCCAGAATAACGAACAAATGCGTCTTGGAAGAAGTACAGCCAGAATGTTCCTTAGAAGAGAGGATGGTGACACTTTGCTTTATGTATTTTGGACATGTTATCAGGCGGGACCAGTCCCTGGAGAAAGACATCATGCTTGGTAAAATGAAGGGTCAGTGAAAAAGAGGAAGAGCCTCAACGAGATGGATTGACACAGTGGCTGCAACAATGGGCTCAGACATAGCAATGATTGTGAGGATGGCAAAGGACTGCGCAGTGTTTTGTTCTATTGTACATGGGGTCGCTATGAGTCCAAATCGACTTCACCACACCTAACAACAACAACAACGATGGATCCAAGTACAGCAATGCCGTCCAACAGGCTGGCCTCAGTAGGTCACAATCAGGAAAGAGGTTTATGTTTCTCCCACCATTCCTTTTGGTACTCTGTCCGCCCTTCCTTCCCCACACCCTGGCAGTATCTGTAGCAGACTTTTTAGCTTTCCAGTCACTTCCAGCTATTATAAAGTCCAGGCCAGTCTAATCAAAATTTTGATCAAAGGTTTGGCCCTACCTGACATGCCCAGCTCTCTGCTTCTGCCAGTTCTGGCTTGAGCAGGGCTAGGAGTGGCGGGCTCCATCCTGTACTATCCCTCCTCCCTTCCCTCTTCACATCCCTGTCCCAGCATGCCTCTTTCTGGCTCATCTCGGGATGCGAAAGGGAGCTGTAGGAGGGGATCAGACAGAGAAGAGGGCAAAGTTCTTTTCCTTAGCCAGGGACCTCTGTAGGCCCCCTCCCCTTGCTGTTAGGGGTCCTCTGTCATGGCAGGCGTCCAGTTGATCATCCATCAGGGTGCATCCGGGGGCCTCTGGGGGACCCTCTGGGCACTTCGGCACTACATCTTCTCCTGACAAGGAGCACGTGCTCTGGCTTCCATCCCGCCCTCAGCTTGCCTCCAACGAGACACCTCCAGCCTCGCTCTACCACCATGAGCCAGCTCCTTCAACAGCATCCACTTGGCCCTCAGGAAATACTCAAATGCCCCTGCTCCCAAGCTGCCCTCTCTCTCACCCTACACCACAGGCGGCTGAGGCCGGCCTTCTACCTTGAGACTTCTCCAGCAAAGACGCAGGTATACCAGCTTCTATTCCACTGTGCACTCTCAGTGACCGGGCACCATCGTATTCTCTAGAGCTCTGGGGATCGCTACTTTACTTGCAAATGATCACAGCCATTAAAAACCCTGTGGAGCACAGTTCTACTCCGACACACAGGGGATCGCCATGAGTCGGAATCAACTTGATGGCCACTGGTGTAGATATATATATATATATATAGTGTATATATATATGGGTGAGTGGGTGGGAGTGTACACATTTATTTTGGTCCCTAAATTCCACTCTTCTATCTCACACTTTATATTCACAGCCCATGAATCAGATATTGTGGGTTTGAGGGAAATCAGTTAAGAGCAACCCTCTTTGCCCGGTTCTGAATTATTTTAGAATGAAGACAAAAGAATGAAGCAGATAGGAGACCAAATTAGGAGACTAGGTTGGAGGCTATGACTTTAATTAGCAGGTAAATTGACTTCCTAACTAAAAAAAAAAAGAAACCCAGAATTAGATAGGTTTATCTATACTGAAGCAGGTTAGAGTTAAATTGGGGCAGGTCAGGATATTTAACATCCCAGATGATATACCCCCAGTAGTCCCAACGGGGCTCAGCTGTAAAGAACAAGGCAGCCTCACAGGTATGGGTGCCCCCCTGCCGAGCCTGATTCCCTACTTAGCACAGGGAGGAGCAGCTGGCTCCCAAAGAGAAAGGAACCCACGCCCACCTGCTCCTGCCAACCCAACATTCAGACAAGGCATTTCACCTCTCAAGGGAGGAGTGAGGGAAGGAGCAGAGAGAGACCAGGAGTGTTACCCTAATGGATGTTCCTCTTCATAGAAGCAAATATCACAAACAGAGAAGTAGCATTCCTCCAGAAGAATAGACACACGTGTAAAACTATTAAAAATTGTACCAAGTGCTTAATAAATAAACAAGGTGCCATGAGAGATACCAACAGAATCTATATGTATTTGCATTATTTTTGAAATGAGAGTAGAATTCTTTAGAATCTATGTATATATGTATCTAGCTATCTATCTATGCCAGAGAAATTATAGGTACCCAGTAGAAATGTAGACAGCTTAGGAGATATAACTGTATTTTTTTAAAAAATGTTTATCTTCAAATTGCCTGGTCTACAAAGAGCATGGTTGGAACATGATTTAAAGGGTAAACTGAGCTAGATTACAAAAGTTTTTTAAATGTTCAATAAAAATATGTGTCTCTTCAAAAAATTAGGTTAATAAATTATTTTCAAGACCAAATTTTGAAATAATGCACTATCTCAAATAATATGTGACTAATAAGCAGTTAGGACTTTTCACTGTTTGCTTACTCTGTTGTTTCTCTGTTGGGAACTTTTCTCATGGAGAAAGCCACCATTGCTTTGAAGAGATATTCTTCATTTGTGTCCCAGGCATACTGAAAGAGAAGAAAAACAGAAAATGAAGAGCCCTGTGGAAATTGAAGGATGAGAAGCGAAATGGTCCATTGGGTTTTAATTGGGGCCACAGTGGCACTCCCTCTCTCATACACTGAGGTCTGGTGACCATGACCTAGAACATGCCACCATAAAGTCCTGGGTAGGGCTTCTTGGACGTTCATTCTATAAGCCAAGTGCAGTGTGTTCCCATGACGTTATCTTTCTCAGAACCCGCAGCCTCGGTAGCATGTGGACATCCTCATGGCAGCCATGTATAGTCCTTCCCTTCTTCCCCTTCTCTCTTTCCTCATGAATGGACTCCCTCCAGCTTCCCTTCCTTCCTTCACATCAGTACAAGTTTTTCTGTTATTTTCTTACCTGAAACCTTGGGCGTATGCATGTGTTTGGCTCCTTCATTCTTCATTTTCAGTCAACCAGCAAACCCCAGCCTTGAAGCAAGAAGGGGCTGGCATTCTTAAAGAAGCTAGTGTAACTAAAGCAAAACCAGGAGCAGGGAGAGCGGTAAAAGCTGAGGAGAGAAGAGCAATCAGAGGGGCGGAGCAGGTGGCACGTTAGGGAGACAATGTGAGGATTCTGGTTTCACTCTGGGATGGGAAGACATCTACTACTATCCTTGCCTTTCTCCTCTTGTGTGGGGTGATAATTATAAATACTGATTCTCAAACAAAACAACAAATCTCTAAGTTACTCTGGGTAAGAAGGTTTATGACTGCGCATCTTCTTTTTCCTTAAATACCTTTATAACATATTCATTTAACTTCCTTCAATTGCCTTTTCTACTTCACTCTTTTCTCTTTTAGTCCCTCCTTAAATAACCCTACAATAAGATCTTACCATCAGGAAGAGAAAACTCAATCTCTTTATTTTTTCTCACATACAAGTGTTGAATATTCCATTTTAATGTCAACTTTAGGTACTATTAGAAGTGCTCCTTTATTCTTTTAAAGTGAACTTCTCCCTTCAGTCAAAGATTGGACAGGTTCATAAAACAAAATGAGACTAAATGGGCACACCAGCCCAGGGCCAAGGACGAGAAGGCAGGAGGGGACAGGAAAGCTGGTAACGGGTAACCCAAGGTCGAGAAGGGGAGAGTGTGGACAGGTCATGGGGGTGGCAACCAATGTCACAAAACAATATATGTGTTAATTGTTTAATGAGAAACTAATTTGGTCTGTAAACCCTCATCTAAAATACAAAAAAAAAAAAAAGAAGTTAAAAAAATAAAGTGAACTCCTCATCTCATATTATACTATGCTCATTTTTAAATACTTAACTGATTCAGAGCATAGTTGCTTGGTTTTTAATAATGCTATTTTTCCTCCAAAATTAGTTTTACTCAGCAGGAATAAGAGCAGCTCTAATCCAAATGGAAGGAGCCCTGGTGGCGCAGCGGTTAAGCACCTGGTTGCTAACCAAAAGGTCGGTGGTTTGAACTCACCCAGCAGCTCCGAGGGAGAAAGACCTGGTGATCTGCTCCCGTAAGGATGACAGCCTAAGAAACCCTATGGGGCAGTTCTACTCTGTCACATGGGGTCACTATGAGTCAAAATCGACTCGATGGCACCTAACAACAACAGTCCAATTGAAATCAATCTAATAAGTGAGAACAAACCCTGAGAGAAAATGGTCTGGTTAAAACCACCGCACAGACACCCTTCAGACAGAGCAGCCTTGTTAGCCCCCTGTGGAGATGGGGTGAGCGGGCTCACGTGCACGCGACAACCATAAGCTGATGCAGACGGTAAAAATGAAGATGCAGCTCCCGTCAGAGCATGAAGTTAAAGGTGGTTTTCAGATGTTGGGAGGAATTTGACCGGATCTTCTCCTGTCCTTTCATTGTTGTTGTTGTTGTCAGGTGCCATGGAGTCCATTCCGACTCATAGCGACCCTGTGTACAACAGAACGAAACACTGCCCGGTCCTGCACCATCCTCACGATAGTTGTTATGCTTGAGCCCGTTGTTGCAGCCACTGTGTCAATCCATCTCGTTGAGGGTCTTCCTCTTTTTCACTGACCCTCTACTTTACCAAGCATGATGTCCTTTTCCAGGGACTGATCCCTCCTGGTAACATGTCCAAAGTACATGATAACATGTCCTTTCATTGGTTCCTCTTAAAACCAAGAGCATGAGCTGGCTGGTGATCTTGGATAGGAGTCAAGTTTTGGTCACAGAACAGAGCCCCAAGCTATTTAGATTGGGAAAAGATTGCTGCTGTTCTACGTTGGGTATCGGGCCAGTGGAACCAGCTTACCCTGGGTAAGTGTTAAAAGATCGAAAGCTTGTGCATTGGAGCTAACATTTTTCTACTAGGGCATTCAAATTTTTTCAGAGACAGACTTCATGAATAAATATAAGTGAGCACATGTAGTGATGTAGAGAAAATGGACCACTGAAGAGAGGATAAGGAAAGAGATACTAAACTACACATATGCATCCTCTACAACTAAGCAATTCCACTCTCAGGTATATACCCAAGAAAAAGAAAGCATACGGCAAAGACATGAGCAAGAATGTTCATAGCAGCTTAGCTACTTTCTGTGCATATACCTGACACATAACAGGGGCTCAGTATATGTGTAAAATTGAATTGAACACATCTTTATCTCCCACATGTGGCTTCACAGAACAAGTAGCACATATTAGTTGCCTGAATTTATCCATCACTTCAGATACCTTGGTTCCTCATTGCAGTATCATGTGTGCCAAGGACCCAAATGCCCCGGTTTCTCCTTCTTTTTGTACAAACATCTCAGAACATTTAAACTATGGCTGACCCCACATTTTAGATGAGTAATCAAGTGTAACCTGAGAAAGTTACAAAACAGAGCTTATTGGTTTAACTATAAATTCACAATGCCTTACCCCCAGATTGCCTAAGAATTCCTCAGATTTCTCCATCAGCTCTCTCTCACTAACACCACAATGACTATTTCAAACCTCCTCCAAACCCAACCCGTTGCTGTCAAGTCGATTCCGATTCATAGCAGCCCTATAGGACAGAGTAGAACTGCCCCCATAGGGTTTCCAAGGCGCGCCTGGTGGATTCAAACTGCCGATCTTTTGGTTAGCAGCTGTAGCTCTTAACCACTACACCACCAGAGTTTCCTCAAACCTCCTCGGGGCCCAAACCTTTTCATCACACCTCAGTATCACTAGATACTCTTGTTCCATGATTTATAGATAATCTAAAGTCATCAGCTGAAACTCCCCCATCCTCCTGATACCAAGATGCAACACTTCCTCCATAGACACACATCCTATTCACCTCCTCCCCTGAAGTGCTAGACATGCTGTTTCTCTTCCGTCAATGGCTAGTCCCTCCACCTCGATTAAGAATGCTTCCCTTCTGCCCATCTCAGGATCTGCCTTCTGCATCTTCAACTCCCTATTAGGGTTTGTCCGTTTACTTCTAAACACACTCAAGTTTTCCCCAACAAAAAACAAAAATAGCCAAAACAAACTACTTTACTCAATCCTCCTTTCTTCTACACACTATTGTGTCTCTCCTGTCCTTCTCAGCCAAAATTCTCAAAAGAGTTTTCCATTCTTCTGTCCTCACATGTTTACTGTTATGGGCTGAATTGTGTCCCCCAAAAGGATTAGTCTTAACCCCTAGTACCTGTGAATATGACCTTATTTGGAAATATGGTTTTTGTAGATGTGGTTAGTTCAGTCAACATTAGGTCACGTTGGAGTAGGGTGGGCCCTAATCCAATGTGACTGATGTCCTTATAAAAAGAGAAGAGACACGAACAGACAGACAGACAGATGCAGAGGGAAGACGGCCATGTGAAGTCGGAGGCAGAGATTGGAGTTATGCATCCATAAGCCAAGGAATGCCTGGGACCACCAAAACTAGAAGAGGCAAGGAAAGATTTTTCCCCTGGGACCTTCTTCAGAGAGAAGCCTCCAGAACTGTGAGAGAATTCTGTTGTTTTAAGCCACCCAGTTTGTGGTACTTTGTTATGGCAGTCAGAGGAAACCAATACATTCACTGCTCACTTAATCTCAACCCGCTCCTTCATCTGCCTTCCAGCCCCACCACTCTACAGAAACTGCTCTTTCTAAAGTTACCAATGACCTCCATATTGCTTAACACAATAAACACTTTTCAGTCTTCATCTTTCTTGGCATACAACATGCTCCTGGTTGTCCCCCTGCCCCTCTGCCCACTCCTCCATCCTCTTTGCAGGTTCACCCTCTTCTATAAGGGCTTTAAGTTTTAGAAGATCTCAAGGTTCCATCCTAGACCCTCTCCTCTGATCACTTTGTATGTTCTCCCTCAGCGCTACCCCAGGCTTTCGTTACCACATCTATGCAAATGACTCATGAATGTATATCTCAAGTCAGCTCTGTCCATTGCCTATGTGTCAATGATACCTCAAACTCAACATGCCCAAAACCGAAGCCATGGTTTTCTTGTCCACATCTGGTTCCCTGGCTCATACATGGGCCACCATCCATCCAGTTGTGTAAGCAGAAACAGGGCTTCACCCTTGCCACCTCCCTCTCTCTTCCTTATCACACTGTCCCTATGGCTCTAAAATCTCTTCACCTCTCCCACTTCTCTCTCTCTCCACCAACATCACTGTCCTCTAAATGACCATCATCTCTCACCCCCACTACTCCAATTGCCTCCTAATTGGCTCCTTCCACTCTAGTCCCCTGCGATCTGCCTTCTACATTGTGACAAAAGTCTTCCAAACACTAATTCTATCATGAGATCTGTAAAAATTCCCAGTTGCTTTAAAGATAACATCAAAATCCCCTAATCCAGCCCACATATTCCTGGCCTGGCCCCTCCTTTCTCTCTAAGCTCACCATGTGTTATGGTCTACCTCACTGCCCCAGTTCCAAACACTTCAGCCTTCTTTCTGTCCCTCACTCTTACCAAGCTCCCTCACGATAAGCCTCTCCTCATGCCCTTCCTCCTTGTATCCCCTGATTCGCTTCTACTCCTACTTTAAACCTCACAGCAAGTGTCATGTCCTAAGGCTCCCCACAAGGCCAAAGTCCGCATGTACTTCTCCTTCCTGTTATTTATACTTGTCAAGCTTGCACATTTACATTTGGTTTTGTGGATATGTCATTGACAACCACCTCTCCCACTAGACTACAAGCTCCACGAGGGCAGGGACAAGCCAGATTTTGTCTGTCATTGCATCTTCAGCATCTAGCACGGTGACTGCCCCAGAGCATCCTGGGATGAGAAACCCTACATGCTGATAGGGTGGATTCTACAGTCAGATTGTCTAGGTTCAAATACTTCCTCTACCACTTGCTGACTTGTGATCTTGAGCGAGTCACTTAACTCCTTTGTGCCTCATTTTCCCCATTCATCCAATGGGAATGGACTGCCTATGCTCCCGCTCTCACAGAGTAGTCGTGAAGACTAAATGAGCCAGTAGGAGGTAAGTGCTTAGAAAGGTCCCAACTAGAAAGTAAACAAAGTTCTGTTTGGCTGTTATAATGATTATTACCCATTGAGTGAATAATAAAATCATTGGTGGATTGGCCTGAAGGCAGAACACTTCTAAGTTTCTTTGTTGTTGTTGTTAGGTGCCATGAAGTCAATTTCGACTCATGGTGACCCCGTACGACAAAGTTGAACTGCCCCATAGGGCTTCCTAGGCTGTAATTTTTATGGGAGCAGATCACCTGGTCTTTTCTCCCGCGGAGCTGTTAGGTGGATTTGAACCACCAGCCTTTTGGTTAGCAGCCAATCACTTAACCTTTGTACTAGCAAGGCTTTGTTCTAGCTTGAGGCACCTTAATTTTACCTTCCTTTGGGAAGAAAATTCACAGACCACACTAAGAAACTAAGACTAGAATTAGACAATATCGTCTTATTAATTCAACTGCCTTTACTGTTCCTATACCCACTTGGGCTCTGTGAGTACATTTTAACTTCTATTTCATAAGTATATATTTCATATTGTTACACTGAGATTTGAGAAGAATTGAAGAAACTTCAGGAAAGAATTGGAAAAAAATGTCGTGCTGTGAAAGACCTAATAAGGATAGAACCATCCCCTCTTTTCACTGATTATAAAACTGAGGCTGACAAAGCTCAAATGAATACAGTGATGAGGGCCAGACCCCAACCCAGAGCTGAGGCCCTACCTCACACCCCTGTGTCTCCACCATGCTGGCTGGAAATCTCAAGTTTGCCAAATTGTTTTTGTGTAATACAAAACTACACGTATTTTCTGGCACATACTATAGATTAAATACTTTAAGCAAAACCATTTTATTAACAATTTCTATTTTACTCTATTTTTACTTTGGTAAGGAGCGCTGGTGGTGCAGTGGTTAAGCACTCGGTTGCTAACCAAAAGGTCAGTGGTTCGAACCCACCAGCAGCTCTGTGGGAGAAAGATGTGGCAGTCTGCTTCTGTAAGATTTACAGCCTTGGAAACCCTGTGGGGCAGTTCTACTGTCCTCTAGGGTCTCTATGAGTCGGAATGGACTCAAGGGCACACAACAACAACAACATTTCTACTTTAAGGAAATATCAGATGTGAGGTCTTTAGGAATAATTGTTTCAAGTTTTACGTAACTATGCAGAGAGGCCCATTATTAGACAAAGCACAGAGTTATTAGACAACAAAATTAAAGATAAACCCGCTAGCGCTCCACTTACTGCTTTATCTCCCAGAGCTGTTTTGATACTAAGTCTCACTTTGAAAGCATTCTCCGCATCTGCCAAAAAGAAAAAAGAAAGAGCAGTGGAGAATCACAAAATCTGCTAAAGAAAGCTTGATAAATCCTAATATTTAATATAACTGAAACCAACAGCACACAGAACTACAATTAAAAAGGCCCAAATCCGCCTGAAAGTTTAAACCCAGTTATTTTAGATGTTTAAAAATGTTGCTTCCAATTCCATAAAACAGTCACAGGCTAAATGTTCAAGTCTTAACACGTCTGCAGTTTAGAGATGTAAGTTCTTTAAGTCAGTTATTTTTATGTTTCAAGGCGACGTACCTGGTTGACAGAGTTCAGCACGAATAGCAGTCACCAGGAAAAACAGAGGCCACAACATTCTTTCAGAATGAAAAACACAGGGCAAACGGGGAAAAAAAATCCACCCTCCACTTAAAGCAGCCTTAGCCATTCTGTGGCCGGATTAGAATGTCAGAGAAACAAGGCAGCCACCGCCTAGGAGGTTTAATGATTAACCCCATCGTTTGGGTTAATGCATTGACTGAAGCAGCCCATCTCCTGTCAGTTATTTACAAAAATCTGTTTGACCATCAGATTATTAGTTATCCTTTCCTAACTCTACCTCAAAAGAAGGTTTCCTCTGCTGACTCAAAGTCGGAATCATCCCCGCCCCTTCTGTTGTGGTCTGGTTACACGCCCCGTGGAAAGCAGGGAGTTCTATCTGGAGGTTTTCATTGAGATGAACTATACATCTTCTCAGGCCTAAAGTATCCGCCTCACAGATTGGCTATCGAAATTTGGGTAACGAACACCCCTCCTTTCTGTCTCTGGTGAACAAAGGCTGCCCCTCCAAGAATGGGCTCCACCTGGCTCGCACCTACGCAGGTAAACATCCCAGGGGAGCGTCCCCATTCAAACAAGGGCATGGTTTTGTTCAGCTCTAAGGTCTAGTGTGTTGTTGTTGTTAGGTGCTGTTGCGCCGCTTCTGACTCATAGCGACCCTATGTACAACAGAACGAAACATTGCCCAGTCCTTTGCCATCCTCACAATCATCGCTTTGTTTGAGCCCACTGTTGCAGCCATTACGTCAATCCATCTCGTTGAGGGTCTTCCTCTTTTTTGCTGACCCTCTACTTTACCAAGCATGATGTCCCTCTCCAGGGACTGGTCCCTCCTGATAACTTGACCAAAGTATGTGAGATGAAGTCTTGCCATTCTTGCTTCTAAGGAGCATTCTGGCTGTACTTCTTCCAAGACAGATTTGTTCGTTCTTTTGGCAGTCCATGGTA